ATATATATATATATATGTGCCACGTCAACAAACTAACGGAGTTTTTGACAGAACCTAACGGTAGGAACCATTTGTGATCACACATACTAACCTTGAGGACCACGAGTGACAAAAAAAATAAAATATTAAGCATGCAATCTGATAGTTTCGTAAACCTTAGGGACGTTTTGTGATATTAAGCCTTAATTTATTGAACAATTTTGGCTTCTATGAAATTGAACTACATTTTTACTTGCAATGGTACAGTTCAATAGCTTCATATCAATAGTTATATCTAGGGGTGGGTATCGAGATCGGAAAACCGGAACACCTAGCCGGACCGGCAATTGCAATTAACGTTTTCTTCCCCTCCAATAAAATTATGGGCCTTTTGGGTAGTTTGGGTAGTGCTGCTGCCACTGAGTTTGAGAATTGAGATCATCAAGTACATACATCTTTCTCTTGTAGATATCGGAGTTCAGATCTTCACCATTGATATGCTCAGATATCCAGCTAGGTCAGTTTACACCTTAGCCTTGGGCTCTTACTATTTCTTCATTCTTGATTATATTATATAATTGTTCTGTATGTTAAACTTTGTTGTCTATCATAATGATATAAATAATTAAGTTATATATATAATGTTAGAAGAAAATTGAGTATTAATTATAATGCATATATTTCACAAATAGCTTGTTGGATCGTATGTATTGAAGTCCAAATGTATAAAGCTATATGGGCCTTCTTATATTGTAAGATATCCATGAATTATGGCATAAGATTAGCAATCCCTAAAATATAATAGGAAAGTTAGGGTATTGTTATCAATATAAAAGGGCTAGTCCCTATTCTTACAATTACACGCTAAGATATTATTAGCCCTATTGAGATATTAGCATTTCGTATTGCAAAGAATAGAAGATAGCTCATGCAGACCTTCACGTCTTCTTCTTCTAATCCAGGTTAGTGTTCTCGATTTGTTATTAAGTTTATTGGCTTATTCTAATGTGATTCATGGTGGTGTTGTTCTATTGATTTCATTTCATGAAATTTTTAACATGTGGTATTAGAGCTCACTCAACAGACCATGTTTCAATTGAATAATAACATTAAATTAATAACAGATAAAATAAAAGGATTATTTTATTATCTATGCTTTTCACTTTGGGCCTTTTTCTATTCCGTCAAGAATTGCATTGAGATTTAGGCTTTCTCTTTTTCCTTTTGATATTCAATTGTTTGAACCTAATTGCTTCCTCTGAATTGATTTCATCTATGAGTTTCTTTGAAACCCAAAATATGCTGATTGAAAATCATGAGCCAATCAAGGTATGGGTTTTTCCTTTAAATGAGTATTTTATGTAGGCCAGTTTTGTTTTCTATGTGATTAAGATCAAGATTAATTGCTTTGTTGATGATGTTGGTTTTGTTGAGGGTTGGTTAAATCCTGTAAGATCATCTTTAGACATTGAATTTGATAGGACTCTATCTTTCAACCTTAGAATATTAACCAAGAACAGAGAGAACCCAAAGAATGTTTTCTGTATATTTCTCAACATGCCGTACAATGGCTCCTCCAATTGGTAATAAAGCCACCGTAGAGGATACAACAGTAATTGTAACAAATTCCCAACTAAAACTTGACACGTGGCTAATTGACTAACCAAATTTTTTTTACGGTTTTGCCTCCAACTCCTAATTCCTATCATTACCCCTCCCTTTGAAACTAAGTTTACAAGTATTGAAAACTTAATACAACGAAAACAGAGGTGCTACAGAAAACGCAACTTGAGTCATCTGGAATTGAAAGCAGCTTCAACCTGGGCAATGAAATCTGGAAATCTGGCCTTGAGGTCATTGTAGTCCTCCCAAGTGGCATCCTCTAGTGTGTGACTCTTCCAATGCACTAAGACATCCACCCCTGCAGCATTTCCACGTTTGACGAGCTTCCTTTCTAGAATAGCCAGTGGCTCATCTTGCACAATACCATCTTCAGTAATTCGAGGTAATGTTAAAGAAGGAGTCACGTGAGTTCCCAAATGCTTCTTCAAACATGACACATGAAATACGAGGTGGATCTTACAACCAACATGCAATTTGAGTTTGTAAGCCACTGATCCCAACTTCTCCAGTATCTCATAAGGTCCATAAAATTTGGGTAAAAGTTTGTGGTAGGAGTGAGCCGCCAAGGATTGTAACCTGTAAGGTACCAATTGCAAATACACCATATCCCCAACCTGAAATTCCCTTTCTGATCGATGTTTATCAGCTTGAGTCTTCATTCGATTCTGTGCCGTAAGGAGATTAGATTTCAGCAAGGTCAACATTCTGTCCCTTGCAGCCAAGCTTCTGTCAACATTGGCAAATCTTGTAGTGCCTGGCTCATATGGTGTAACAGTGGGTGGGGGCTGACCATAAACAACTTCAAATGGGGTTAACTTGGTTGATGTATGATAGGCTGTATTATAGCTAAATTCTGCCCAAGACAACCAAAGCAACCATTTTTTGGGTTGAGCTGCAGCAAAGCACCTCAAATAGGTCTCCAAACACCGATTAACTACTTCAATTTGGCCATCAGTCTGTGGATGCAGCACTTCATCCTTTTGATGCAAAACATTATCATGGTAGATTTTTAGCCTATGCCCGTTAACCTTGGATTCCTTTCCTGTGCTAATATGTCGGATATCAACTGCACCATAGGAATAGACATTAGTAATAACATATGGGCCAGTCCAACGGGATCGAAGCTTACCTGGAAAAAGCTTGAACTTAGAGGTAAAGAGTAATACTCTTTGCCCTACTTCAAGTGACTTCCTAATGATATGCTTATCATGATATGCCTTTGTTTTCTCCTTGTAAATTCTAGCATTCTCATAAGCATCGTTTCGAAGCTCATCCAATTCGCTTAGCTGTAACCTCCTATGGTCTCCTGCTTCCTTCATGTCGAAGTTATACTTCTTGAGTACCCACAGGGCCCTGTGTTCAAGTTCAACAGGCAGATGGCAAGGTTTACCAAAAACTATACGAATTGGAGACATACCAATTGGAGTCTTGTAAGCAGTTCGGTAGGCCCAGAGAGCATCATTAAGGCGCACAGACCAATCCTTGCGAGTAGGACCAACAATCTTCTCTAATATGTGTTTCACCTCCCTGTTGGAAATCTCCACTTGTCCACTAGTAATAGTGGAGTCACGCTTGAGTAAAAGGACTTTTGATTAATTGTTGACGTAAAAAGACTAGTAATAGTGGAATCTATGAAGCTTGACTTCAAGTCATTGTGTAAAAGGACTTTTGATTAATGGTTGACGTAAAAAGACTAGTAATAGTGGAGTCAAGCTTGAGTAAAAGGACTTTTGATTAATGGTTGACGTAAAAAGACTAGTAATAGTGGAATCTATGAAGCTTGACGTAAAAATTGATTAATGGTTGACGTAAAAAGACTAGTAATAGTGGAGTCAAGCTTGAGTAAAAGGACTTTTGATTAATGGTTGACGTAAAAAGACTAGTAATAGTGGAGTCAAGCTTGAGTAAAAGGACTTTTGATTAATGGTTGACGTAAAAAGACTAGTAATAGTGGAGTCAAGCTTGAGTAAAAGGACTTTTGATTAATGGTTGACGTAAAAAGACTAGTAATAGTGGAGTCAAGCTTGAGTAAAAGGACTTTTGATTAATGGTTGACGTAAAAAGACTAGTAATAGTGGAGTCAAGCTTGAGTAAAAGGACTTTTGATTAATGGTTGACGTAAAAAGACTAGTAATAGTGGAGTCAAGCTTGAGTAAAAGGACTTTTGATTAATGGTTGACGTAAAAAGACTAGTAATAGTGGAGTCAAGCTTGAGTAAAAGGACTTTTGATTAATGGTTGACGTAAAAAGACTAGTAATAGTGGAGTCAAGCTTGAGTAAAAGGACTTTTGATTAATGGTTGACGTAAAAAGACTAGTAATAGTGGAGTCAAGCTTGAGTAAAAGGACTTTTGATTAATGGTTGACGTAAAAAGACTAGTAATAGTGGAGTCAGCTTGAGTAAAAGGACTTTTGATTAATGGTTGACGTAAAAAGACTAGTAATAGTGGAATCTATGAAGCTTGACTAGACAGAGACTAGACAAAGGGCAATTTCCAAGCCTGGGTAATTGAGTAATTGCCTTGGAACGCGTGCGTTGGAGAGAGAAGGCAAACGTTGGTTTTTTGGGGTGCCTTTATGAAGTCCTATGTACTGGCCTTAGACAAATTTTTTGGGGTGCACTTGAAATAGAGTTAAAGTATTTGAATACGAGCATAATTCAGAATGGAAGAAGATACACAGGAAATATGATCTTTGGCCTTGACTCCAACATGGTCTTGCTACTGTTTTGACAATTTTTGTTGCTGTTTCTCTGCCTGTGGAGTTCTCTATCCATCGATTCAGTTATGTAACTTATACTCTAGCATTTTTCATGAGGTTTTTGTTTCTCTTTATTGTTATTTAAGTTATTAGACATATATTCTTTTTGGACTGCATCAGCTATAATTGTACAGAATAGTTTTACTTCATTCACTACTTAACTAACTTTGTATTCGTGTAAAAACTCTTTTATGTTCCCCAGTGAACCCAAAATTTATCTATATGTGGACCATATCGTGTACGTTACCATCTGGTCTTGTCCATTTGTGAAAGGCAAAGTACAGAAGAAGAAGAAGAAGAAGATGATGATGATGATGAGAATGGGCATCATTTATGAGCAGTCACATGCAGCTCCTCTATTTCTAATTATAGTTTAATTTTATGGATATGGTATTTTGTATGGATATAGTTGTAATCAAGATTGGTAAACTGTGTAATTACTATTGAATCTTCAAGTTTTATGAAAGAAACAATTTTTTAGTATATATATGTATGGTGTGGGCAATAGCATATTTGGACTTGAATTTATTGTTCACAAAGCATTATGGTTGTTTTTTTAGTTAAAATCGTTGTAGAGAACCATTGGAAACCAAAAAAAGAAGCTAATGAATGCATTGAGAAATAGCATCGCTACAAGTTTAATGAATGCATCTAATTAGCTTCTTTTGTATTGTAGTGATCTATTGGGGCATTTTAAAATTGAACAATTTGGTATATTTGTTATGTTCGAAGCCCTCAAAAGACATTGTTATTATTAATATAACAATATTTAGAACTACTTTTGTTACAATAGTAGTAAGACGTACTTTTCTGGTACAAGTTAGAACTTTAAAGTCTTTGAATGGTTACCTGTGGATGTTCACCTTCTTGGCTTCTTCTCTTTTATTCCCCTACTTTTTTTTTCGATTCTTTTTTTTCACTTTTTTATACTTTCTCTAGTTACAAGTACGTTTTTCATGAGTATATAATTTATGGTAAAATATGTATGCTAATTTAAGATTAAATTTTTTGATTAAAAAGTGTGAATTAAAAAAAGAAAAAAATTTATGTAGTGAAGTTGGTTTATTTTTTTTAAAGTAGAAAAAGAATGAAGAAAATAACAAACAATTTTATCATCATGTCCTTTTTGGTCATTATACACACTAAAAGCACTTCTGATAAAAATTTACCAAACACTTTGACTACTCACAGCAGTTTTTCAAAAACAGTTTACCAAACGCCTAATAGCTTTTTTTCACAACTGATTATTTTCGCAGCACACGCCACGTGGAAAAGAAGATTATCCCTTTAATTAATTAATTAAACCATTTATTGGGATAATTGATTAATCAGGATAATATCTTAATTATATGGTATTATCTCATAATTAA